GATAAAGGATCAATACAAAGTATACTGAGATACTGTAACTGTATAAGGCTTTTTTATATTATGTACTGATTATAGGTAATGATAATGAGTGTCTTGCAGAGGAGATAAACTAACTGATGGAGAAGAACAAGAACTGAGGACTTTACTTGATTACAAAGAAGGTGTGATAGTTGATCTATTACTCAATATTATTACTGATGTTACTTATACTAATGGTATAGGATCAATATTTGAACAAGATAAACAGCTAAATATCATCAAAAGAAGAAAAGGTATAATTAGTGAAAACTAAAGATATTTTATTAATGTATTTATTACTTGTATAGATTATATTGAAAGGATACTACAGACACCAGGTATTTACAGACCAGACCTCCCACAATATGCCATTCCTAAAGATTGTGGCAGTAGAAAGCGTATACTTACTGATCTATTGATGAGCCACAAGCAAAAAATCAAAAAAATATGCCACCACCAAACATAGCTCATGATAAGGGAAGTAGGCCATCAGACAGTAAGGAGTATAGTTGTCCCAAGAAACCACCTGTTGTTAACAATAGTGGTAACAATACAGGTATAGTACTAACTTAAAGCATGTATTAAAGTAATGTGCAGTTGATAATTATTTTGAACAGTCATGCAGCTAGTACAATTATTTTATAAATTGGAATTCTCATTGTGTCATTACTGTATAGAGTCTAAACTGAAAATAGAAAGACAGAGGTTGCAAGTGGCTATCAATAAAGTATTCAAATCACACAAATTAGAAACTGAGAATTTCCGAACCTCTCTCCTAATGAAAGCAGGTACTGACTCTACTGGTATAATATGTCTATACTACCTCATCACAGGAAGAGAGGAGGTATTAGTGGAGTATAAGAAAGAAATTGAGTTACTACAAGAAAATATATCAATAACTAGTGTACAACTGCTGATGAGTGAAAAGGGAAATATTGAGAGTACGTGATATGTTAGTAATTAAATCATTAACTGATTGATATATTGTATAGAGAAGGATCAGTGTACACAATCACTGGATACACCAACAGCAGAATCTATTTACACAGCACGTATTGACTATCATGGAATAAGGAGATATGGTCTTTCATTCAGTGAGGGAGGCAAGCTGGATATATATGACAAGTCTGGTAGTTTTAAGTGGAAAGGAAGATCCTTAGTGTCGGGTGATGAAGGATTCATTCCTAGTAGTTGTGTTTACTCAATGTTGGAGTCACTTCAATTTTTAGAGTTTATATTGTCAGTGGAAGAAGTGTCCCTTCCTATTCTACAGAAGATAAGGAATGATTCATCTAGTAATGATGAGAAAGCTTCTCTTTTCTTGGAGACTATTAATGATGATCCTATTATGATATCTGCACTGAGACAAGACAAGGAACAACATGATATAGGTAATATTTGTGATTATTGTGACAGTCAGTATAATTATTAATGAACATGTAATGTCATGTGTACATGCATACTTGTGTATGTAGCATGTACAATGTACATGTACTTTTATACATTATTTTCCTGTCCCTACTTATGTACAGATTACATGCATGTGTGGATGTACCATAGATCAGGAAATTTCCATTTTAAAAATATTTTCGGGTTAAAATGACCTAACGAAATTTTAACATGAAATATTATCTACAGTGAAGAATAAGATTACTGGAATTATTCTAACGTGCAGCACTGCAGCAGTGCATGCACGAAGCTCTTCCAAAAGCCCAATAATTCCATTGAATAGCTGTCCATTGTCATCAAGAGTTATTAGCCATGTGTCAAGTTTATGACGCATCCAAAATTTTTGATGCTGAAAAAATTCTCGGATGGGTCAACCAGTGAAAATAAAACACCTTGAAAAAATTTCATGCCAATTATTTTTAACATGAAAACTTCCCAATCTATGGTATGTACAATTGTATTGTGTGTGTGTATTTGTTTACTAGTTGCAGTGACAAATAGCAAGTTGTGTGTGTTTATATATACACATGATGTGAATATGTGTATTATTATGTACATACCCATGTACATGTATATAAGTATAATCCTTTGGTTTATATTAGGAGTCACTGGGAGAGTGAAATGGGACAGCGACAGGGTGTCCCTTACCTCTCCATCTCCAGTTCAGTGTAATGAAGTGATTAGTAATCTTAATAATAATCATAAGGTGATTCACCTCAACCACTCATCTACTAATAGTACAGTATCTCTACTATCATCAACTAAACTGCATACACTAAACCTGAGGAGACTTGAGATAATGTACACTCCATTAACTAATGATTGTATCCAGCACTTGTGTATACTACTAACTAATAATAAAACAATACAAGAACTAGAGATTAGTTCCCACTCCATTAGTGATAGAGGAGTTACTAATATCTGTCAAGCACTTGAACACAACTCCACACTTACCTCATTAGGTATTTTTAATAATCCTCTCATCACTTCTACTAGTGGACAGGCTCTTTCTCACCTCCTCCTCAATAACTCATCACTAGTTGAACTGAATCTGCGTTATTCTTCATTGTCTACTGAGTCAATACTACTCATCTTCCAGTCACTAATGGATAATAAGAAGATAAGGAGACTCTGGCTAGACTATCGACATAAAGAGACTTGTATTAATACTTATCCTAACTATTACCTCATACAAGACAAAGTGGAGTGGAGGTGGCTCTAATCACTCTTCATGTGAACTTGTGTATCTTCACCAAAATTAATACAAGAGATCAATCAAAACACACCACACACAAAGATGGTAATTTATCAACTCCATTATTTTTGATAATTGATTTTATTTTTTTAATTTTTAATTTCTTTGACTGCATAACTAGAAATGACAAACACTGATACATGATAATGATAATCCTTAAAATGATTTACTGGCTAATTACAAGTTCTTAATAATAACAATCAGCTCACATTATAGCCTGCAGTCTGATTGGTAGTAGAGTACTATAGAGTACTGTTCATCAGTACTTACACTGCAGTGAACAGAAAGTGATAGTGCAATTGAAGACATTTGTTGCATTAAAATTACATTTTAGTTGCGCTTTTAATTGTGTGTACTAATTTTGTTTGGATCTAAAGAAATAAGAGACATATATAGTCTATCTATTTAAACATTTTAATTTAAAATTTCTAAAAAGTTCTAAAAAATTTAAAGTTTCTAAAAAGTATTTCCAGTCAATACAGTTTTACTGCGGATTAGTTCAAGATTTAGTAAAGTTTGAATAGTTTAGATTTAACAAGTAAAATCCTCGAGACAGTCTAATTCTAAATTAATATTAATTAACATTAATTAACTTGAATAACTACTAACCTGATTCTTCAATTTCAGGTTTAAAATGGCTAAAGAAAAAATATCAAAAGATAAATCCAGTGATTTATACATATCAGACAGAATTTTCTAGGACTGCAAGAGGGGGGGTTAATATAAAAAGGTGTGGTTAGTAGGTGTGGTCTCACCAGGGAATTGTTTGACTGATAGTGTACGTAATAAATGAAATATTCTCTTCATAACTGAAGGACAGGAACGGGCAGAACTTGTAATGGCACTTATGAGCTTCTCAACAAAAAATAATAAATTAGTCTATGGAGAGAGAGAAATAAATATCATACGTGTAAATATCTTAATAATGTATAAAAAATGTAATGAAAAATTAATATCAACCAAAAATTAATAAAAATCACTTTGTAGGTACATGTGTATACACAACTATGGAACAACTATAAAAATTTGTAAAAAAATCCAAATTTGATCAGAATGAGTTCAAACTTTCTAAACAACAGAACAAATACCGTATTTTACTGTATAAACATTTGGTCCAAATAAACGCCTGTCATTAATATATTCTAGCTATAGATACACATATTTCTACCAAAAAATAATGCCTCACTGTTTAGATAGCTTAAAAGTGCTTAATAGTTAGAGCCTGGTCTAACTTGCTCAGAGTTGAAAATTCTGTCCCACTCGAAGTATCTTTTCTATTTTTTTCAATAAATTTTTTTGCTGCTAAGAAATAAATACCCGGGTATTTAATCAGTAAAATATGATACATGTATCAGAAAATACACAACACACACACACACTCTATAATCATTAGCATTAAGATACAAACACACACTATCAAACACATACCATTGATGAGTACATGTACTTAATGAATGACTGATCCATTTAAACGTGTACCTATACTTCAGAATCAGGAGTAACCGACTGTAGATCATACCACTTCTCTACTGGGAACTCGTGCCCTCCTGACAGCTGGTCTCTGGTAAATATGAGGTGGCCTAACCTCTGGTCACGTGACACTGTGTCAGCATCACAAATGAATAGGGTTGGACAAGTGAAGTCATTAGGGACTGTGAAATTAAACTGTTCAAAATTTACAAATTTTAAAAGTTGCTAAAATGCTAAAATTTGTCAAAACATGAAAAGACAAACATACCACTGACTGTGTGTCCTAACCTTGTTGTATTGGTAGTCATCCTGCCCCTCCCCCACCTCCTCTGGTCTCTCGTACAGCTGTGTGTTTGGTACCAAAATTTGGTACCAAACACACAGCTGTATGAGAGACCAGAGGAGGTGGGGGAGGGGCAGGATGACGAGCGGAATAACGTACCTCAAGATACTTTGAGTCTTTGGGAATGTGTCAGGTAAATGAAACACATATTTTCTATCAACACTCTAAATAGTGAGAGACATGGAGATAAAGGATTACATCTACATGTACATATGTATATTTACTTTTGATGTACATTTCATAATTCAATGTTTAGCAGCAAAGCTCTCGTTAAACTCCTAAAATACAATAAAAACAATGAGATATAATAATATTAATTTCTTTAAATGGACATGACTAAAAAATTTTAGTTGGAATCGGCTTCAACTTTTTAAATGTAATGAAAATTAGGAACAATTTTGGAGCCATTTTTTGGAAAAAAGCATGAATACAGTACATAGTATTTTGTTACAGGGAGGGCTACCAATAGGCTATGTGGGGTCCAGGACAAAAATTTTGATGGTGCCCCTACAGGTACCGTGGTAGGTACAGGGTAGTCTCGCTAGCCAGACCATTCCCCAGCCTACAGTCATTGGGGTGGACGGCGGGGAAGGGTCTGGTACACTGCTTAATGTAGTCCTGTTCTTACGTCCAGAAATGGACGAGACCAATCAGATTCAGTTATCCATGACATGTGACCACAGGTCACATTGAATTTTAATTATCAAAATGGCGACTTTTCAAGAGTTGTGGAAAGAATGCTGAAAAACAAGCTATAGAGTGGTAGCATCCAGCGTCTTATTGATTCTGAAGAGGCATCTTAGTGAAAGGTATCCGAGTAATATGCTACAAGTTGGTCTGGATGCCATGAAACATGCATTTCGGTTCAATTTTATTGTTGTTTCATATGAACAGTATTTTTGTTGTT